GCAGATCGTGACAGTAGTGTCGGTTTGCTCAAATTGCCATTTTGACAAAATGGTGAACTGCCGACCGGCAACAAAGAGTGCTGATCGGCAAATACATCATTGCCCGTGGAAACAAATCACCAGCCGGTGGCTCGTGGCCATGGCGGTGATGTGGTGGGGATGCTCACAAGGGCATCCCTGCGGCCCTCCAAGGCAAAACACAAGTGTTTGTGCAAAACCAGACACTAAACAGTCGAGTTCGGAAGATCCTGAGGCAGGGCGTGTATCGAGACCCCCGGGAATCATAAACGCAACACAAACATGGATGATCACCGGGCTGTTTCAAACGGTGACGTCCAACGTATTGAGGAACGGTCAAAATGGGGTGTCTAACAGTACCAAGTTCCGGAGGAGGCAACTTTGGTGATGACGGAACGTGGCCTTTGGCACGAGTCAGGGTCTTCCTAAATCTTTAAGAACAAAAATATTTAGATGGTGTACTCTGTATTATAGCCAAACGCGTCCAATTTTTGCATTATTTGATTGAAAATCGATTTTCTAAAAAGATTTGCCGGATTGGACTCTTTGGTGATTATCGATTTCACATTGCACTTGTGAGATTAGATTCAGAACCACGGGAGTCCGAACTGTGAGGCTTTCATTTCAAAACCTTTTCGAAAGCGCGGGGCCCGCGAGAGAAGGCTGCACGATTTTCATGGCGACTGCTGCTGGCGGTTCTCACGCACGAGCACACTTTGACTCAAACTCATGATATGCTCATTTCATTTACACTTTGTGTTTCTTTTCCAATTTTGCCATTTACATCGTGGGGGCGCCTAAGTCAACAGTGTGCCATTTTGCTCCTTCCTGAGCGATTCTGCCGGAGGCTTGCTTAGAAAAGCTTGCAAAAGCTGACGCGGTTGTCTAAGGCTTTGCCGCGATGGGAACACAACCTTGGATCTGGACTACTGGGCTGTACTTGTTGATCCTTCTTTCACTTTCTGCGTTGTTAGGTGTAGAGGTATAGTTAGGTGGTCCTTTGCTGAGGTATGCCGCTTTTTTTGACCATATCGACCATAGTTGGCTATATCGGTAGCCTGTAGACTGTTCGCAATACTAGGACAGGTATGCTCGCGCAAATGCAGGGAATTTGTTTGAAACGCGCTTGTTTGTGTAGTTATCTCTAGTTCCTGACGAAATTAGGACAGGGTACCCTACCCTATCATAGGGGTGTTTTGGCTCTCACTTGCTTGATACATGCTTTAAGAGTGAAACTTTGTAGGAATGTTGTATCAGTTGCAAGTCTGGGTTATCAATTTTGGGGTAGAATCAATGTTGAGTTCAGTTCTCCAGCTTATTGGTAGCAACTGCGTGTTGCTTGTGTCTGAATCGAGGTGCTGTGCGGTTTTTATTTTTGTTTCTTTTTGCTTTATTTTCTTTTTGCAAGGAAGTTCTTCACAATTGCTTCAGACAGTCTAGTTACCCCCCAGCACTCTGGACCTGAGTAAGGCGACTTTATAAATCAGGGGATCTTGTCAGGGGACAACTAGTGTTTGCTTTGCTCCTGCCGGTTACAGAACGGAGGAGGGTTCGGCACAACTCACCGATTCAACAAAACACCACACCTAATTAGGGACAGTTTTTTGCTTCCAATTTAGTAAGAGAGTATTCACTGTTCAAATGGCTCAGTATCTACACCGGAATGGAAGACTTACTTCGTAACCTCAAGCAGACCATTGAGAACATGCAGATAGATGCCGGCCGCCAAGCAGAAGTTGCAGCCTAGCAGCTGAGTTGATCAGAAGGCTATAGCAAAAACAGCGCAACGATAGCGACTTTTGCATCCCATCCACTCTCCTACACTACTACACACATCCTAGCACACGGAGCTACTTGCTCTCACATCCAATGACTAGGAAAATGCAGGCATCCCAGTGGATCCGATTCCACCTTAGGCTTTCCAAGGCACCTGTATACCAAACGGAGGCCCTTTTTGAGTTTGAGGTCGACCCTACTGCCTTTGAAAGTTAACAAGCTAGAAAAGCTCTTCAAACGAGCGCAGGGTATGAATAGGTACTTCAAGCCCCCACACTTAGACCAACTCGAAGCATCCGAAAAGGACAAGGAGGCTGAAAAATATAGGGAAAAACTGTTAGAGGAAGAGGCTGTGCTGAAACAGTTAAAGAAGATCCAAGCAGACATATCTATCTTGGGGTTGCTTATGGCTTCGCGTGTGCACCGGCAAGTTGTATTGTCGACAATGGATAAGGCCAAACTGTTTATCGACACAACTCCAGAGCAACTAGTGGGACTTGTCTTCCCGGGAGGTGCTTCGCCTACTTTGACCTTCTTAGATAAGAAATTGTCGCTTGAAGGCTGCACATAACAAACCGTTGTACATCTCAGTTGAGTGTAGAGAGAAGTGGGTACCGGTTGTATTGGTTGACACTGGGTCTGCAATCAATGTTTGTCCATCTCTCACAATCTATGCTATTGGCTTGAAGCCAGCGGATTTTGTACCAACAGCCCAGGTGATCTGGGCTTACAACAACACAAGTAAAGGTGTGATGAGAACAATTCAGATCAGAACACAGGTCGGCCCGGCCCAACAGGATATTGAGTTTCATATCCTAGATGTTCCAGCTACTTTCAACTTGTTACTTGGGCAACCTTGGCTGCACCAAGTAAGAGTTGTTTCTTCCACCTTACATCAAATGTTGAAGTACCCTTTTGGAAAGGGGGTGGCCATTGTGTTTCGGGAATTCGTCTATACATTCTCCGCTAGAGGTTACTACACCTGTATTGGAGATTATACATGGCGACGAGGATGTTTTCTTGTCTGGTTTTACCTTGGCTGAGGCCCGAGTAGTGCAAAACATCTTGGCTGTTGATGAGGGCTTGTATGTCAGTGCACAATCTGTATACCTCATGAACAAGCTACAACATATGCCTGGGATGGGATTAGGAGAGAGCGGTCGGAAGGGCATTACTGCACTGGCCGATGTGTCGCATAACCCACATACCTTTGGCCTTGGCTACATTCCTACCAAAGAGGATTGGGTTCGGAAAGGGAAGGAAATGGCGGGAAAAGCCAAAGCTAAGCAAAGTGGGAAGCACTATGAACTTGTGCATATGCCAATTCAGGGAACTTTGAATGGCCGCTTTGTCTGGGAGGGGGAAGACTTCCCATTTTGCGGCTTTCCTGAGCCATGGTTGAACTTCGAGAAGCGGCGTCTACCTGGCTTTGAGATTTTTTTCGACTTACAGCTACAAGAGAGCGACACAGAGGAACAGACTGAACAAGCTGCTGAGGTTGCAAAGAGCACAGAAAGTGAGTTCGACATCAGTGAACTTGAGGTAGGAGCAGCGCTGACATATCTCCTTTCGGATCCTCAGATCATCTCAGAGAGCTTGGGGGATAACCTAACCGTTTCCGTGATCGGAGACCAATCAGGTGTGGGCCTTTCTAATGGTATCTTGGATACATTTGATGCACCATCCTTTACTTTAGTAGCTGGAGGAGGGTTTTCTGTCCAGTAGTTCTGAGTCAGGTAGTGAACCAGAATCTGATTCCACAGAGTCTGTGGAGTCGGAATCAGATTCCGGTTCTTCTGAGTCGAAGTCTGGTATTCCTAGGGTTGATAACTCGGATGCCGTTGTTTTGTCCAAGTTGTCTTTTTTCTTTTCTTTTGAGTCGGTTGTAATTGAGGAATTAGATGAGCTGGATTTTTTGAATGAGAATGCCACAACAGTTTCTGAGTACTTCTTTGTGCCACTTGTGTATTGCATTGATCACGATTTTCAAAATTTTGATGAAAACAACGAGGAAGGAATTCCTATAGTTTTGAAACATTTGATTGATCAAGAGGAGGAGAGGTTTGTAAAACCCCTTGTTGATGAAATCATTCCAATTAATGTGGGTACTGAGAAGGATTCGCGTCTGGTCCAGATCGGGTCCACGTTGTCTTCAGAGGAGCACGAGTGCTTAGTCATTTTATTAAAAAATTTCAAAGATGTTTTTGCGTGGTCCTATGAAGACATGCCTGGAATTGATCCTGAGATTGTACAACATTGGATCCCTTTTGACCTCGAGGCCTGACTCATCAAGCAGAAGCTGCGGAGAATATGCCCGGATTGGGCTTTGAAGATTAAGGAAGGGGTCACCTAGTAGATAGACGCAGGGTTCTTGCTAGTATCTGAATATCCGACTTGGTTGGCCAACATTGTTCTAGTGCCGAAGAAAGATGGCAGAATTTGGGTGTGTGTGGACTTCAGAGATCTGAACAGAGTTAGACCGAAGGACGACTTTCCTCTACCGCACATCGATGAATTGGTGGATTTCACCGCAGGCCATGCACTACTCTCCTTCATGGATGGATTTTTCGGGTATAACCAAATCTTGATGGCACCCAAGGATAGAGAGAAGACTGCCTTCACCACGCCGTGGGAAACCTACTGCTACAGGGTGATGCCGTTTGGGTTGAAGAATGCTGGGGCCACCTATCAACGTGCTGCAACCACAATTCTGCATGCCATAATCCACAAAGAGGTTGAGGTGTACGTGGACAACATGATTGTCAAGTCCAAGGAAAGAGAGGGCCACTACACCGCCTTGAAAAAATTCTTCCAACGGATCAGAGAATATCGATTGAGGTTGAATCCACAGAAGTGCACCTTTGGCCTAACAGCAGGGAAAATGCTGGGTTTTTGATTACACAGAGGGGCATCGAGGTTGTCTTTCCAAAATCAAGGCCATATTAGAAATGCCACCACCAAGGACTGAAAATGAGGTGCGAGGCTTTCTGGGTAAAGTGCAATTCATAAGACGGTTTATTACAAAATTAACCTTGATTTGTGAACCACTATTTGGTCTCTTGAAGAAAGGAAAAAAATTCTGATGGGATGACCGATGCTAGTTTGCTTTTGAGTACATCAAGCAGTACCTTCAAAACCCGCCCGTGTTGTTGCTGCCAGAGCCGGGGAAGCCGTTGATTCTGTACCTGTCAGTAATAGACACAATGATGTGATGCATGCTTGCTTAAGAATCTAAGGATAAAGTGGAGAAAACCATCTATTACCTGAGTAAAAAGATGCTGGTTTATGAGACCCGTTACACCCTGCTGGACAAGGCTTGCTTAACCTTGGTATGGGCTACCAGGAAGTTGAGGCACTACCTGTTAGCTCACTCTGTACTTCTAGTTTCGAGATTAGATCCTATCAAATATCTCTTCGAGAAACCAGGGCATACGGGTAGGCTAGCCCGTTGGTTGCTTCTTCCTTTTGAATTTGATTTGAAGTATATGATTCGCAAGTCTGTCAAAAGGAAAGCAGTAGCAGAGTTTCTAGCAGATCACTCAGTGGAAGGCGACGAAGTAGTAGAATACCTATTCCCAAATGAAGCTATTCTGCAGGTTGAGGAAGGGATTTGAACAATGTACTTTGATGGAGCATCTAACCAGTACGGTTATGGGATAGGGGTGTTGCTGATAGCATCTGACAATTCCCATATACCCTTAGCCTTCAAACTCCGGCTCAAAGTATCTAACAATGAAGCAGAATACGAGGCATGTATCGCTGGTTTGGAAGCCGCCCTGGAACTAGGGGCAAAAAGGTTGGACGTCATTGGGGACTCGAACATGGTTATGTTTCAAACAAAGGGAGACTGGAAGGTTAAAGAAGAAATGATGAAAATCTATCACCAAACCCTAGATGTTTTGATTCCTAGGTTTGAGAAGCTAACCTTCACGCATCTGTTAAGAGAAAATAACAGGTTCGCTAACGCCTTATCACCTCTATCGTCAATGATAGACATCCCTTTTGGAGTCCAGATGCATCCAATCATTATTGAACAGAGATATGCGCCGACTTATGAGTTGATCGTCGCAATAGATGAAGTATAAGATCACAACCCCTGGTATTATGACATATGGAACTTCTTGGAAAAGGAAGCTTATCCACTAGGGGCAAATGCCAAGGATAAGAGGGCAATACAGAGAATGGCTGCTTAGTTTATCATCTGTGGAGGTAAATTGTATAAGAGGGGTCATCTGGGAATGCACAAGTTGTGCGTCAATGCAAAAGAGTCAAAGCGCCTAATGGAGGCCATCCATGGGGGAGAGTGTGGAACACACATGAGCGTAGTAATGCTGGCCCGGAAGATTCTCAGGCAGGGTTATTATTAGTTAACCATAGAGGAGGATTGTATTGGTTTGGTTCGGCGATGCCACAAATGCCAAATTCATGCAAATCGCAGGAATATCTCGCTGTCGAAGCTGTACAACACGACTTCACCATGGCCTTTTTCAGTCTGGGGAATTGATGTTATTGGGGCAGTTACACCGAAGGGCTTGAACAGGCATGAGTATATCTTGGTGGCAATAGACTATTTTACAAAGTGGGTTGAAACCCAATCCTATGTAGTGCTGAAAGTGTCGCATGTAGCCAAGTTCATAAGGAATAACAATCTAAGCCATAATTGAGCACCTAAGGTAAGAAATCAAGCCTTTAGTTGTGTAATTGGGGTACTTAACACATATATTCAAAAGAATTAAGTGAATTGAGACAAGGATTAAGTTTAATGGAGTAGTCAAGAATAGTATACATACATGCATGTGCATTGCATTGCAGTTAGAGCATGTTGTCTAAGAATTTGTCCCATGCATGTTCATATTTTGGTTTTAGTTTAAGAAATCAACATGTTTTTGTACCAACATCTCTATTAATCATGCTTTGGAAAGTTGAAGCTCATATCATTGCATGCAAGTCATGTTCTTGAAGTTTCAAGTTGAATTTTGAACAATTGACTTACTCTTGGGCCTTGATTTGTGAAATGATCCTTAATTCTTGATGTTTTACAAGTTTAGACATTTTTTCTCAAGTTTTGGGGCCCAAAGGTTGTATTTTAAGGCTTTGAATTTGAGTTTTGAGCTTGGAACAGCAATCTGGAAATTCCAGAATTCTGCATCTCCGCTTGAGCGATTGAAGTTGCGCTTGAGCAACCACCCTTTGTTTTGTGCTGTCGCTCAAGCGAAGAAGTTTAAGCTCGAGCATAAAATTCATGCTCCTAGAAGTTTTGCAAATTTTGTAGACCGCTCGAGCGATAAGGGTTGCGCTCGAGTGAGGACCCTGTTTATTCAATCTTCTGCTCGAGTAACTATCAAGCGTCCATCAAGCGGAAAATTACCAGTACTTTTGCAGACCTAAAGGCTCGCTCGAGCGTAGGAAGTGACACTCGAGCAACATGCCCTGTTTTTGAAAATTTTGCTAAGTGTTTCAAAATGCATTTTGGCATTCTCATTGCATCCTAGGCATTCTTAAGACCTTATTAGGACATAGTAATGAGAATGAAGATTAGAAACACACCTAATCAAGAAAGAAATGAATTAAATGAATTCCAGGCATGTGTTTCAATATGTATCCGTTCTGTGTTTGTGTAGGTCACGCGCCATAAATGATCCGTCCGCTATATCTGTTTTATTATTAGAGCCATTTGTGAGTAATAACTTTGTAAATCTATATTCACGTTTAATATTTTCCTATATGATATGACAAAAAATTATCTGTTTTATGAAATGTTATGTTGTGTATCAATGAATGATTGTCCATATATTGACAAGTATTCGCGGCATCCTTAGCACATGGCCCTTGCCTAGGTGTAACAATATTGTGGTCTATAAGCATAAGGCCCTTGCCCAGGGGTAATAATATCGTGGTCTCATGGCCATTGCCCGGGGGTAAAAATACCATGGTCTCATGGCCCTTGCCCAGGGGTAACAATACCGTGGCTTAAGTATGTTATCTGTTCCCGGTACCGAAGGTTCCTTTATGGAACTGGTCAAGTACGACCCTTAATGCTCTGTATCTAATCTATTTGCACTAATGGGTGTACCACGTATGATCATCTGTAAAGTTGAATAAGTACATGCTTCTGAACTCTACTTTTCGAATTTGATATCGGACATTATCCAATAAACCCTTTACTCTATTATTATTCATTGGGCTTTCACTCACTATTTATGTTATGTATGTAGGTGATCAGAAGCGTGACCAGGCACAGTGATGACTGCTTAAAAGTCTGCTGTCAGCCAACCTTTGCGCCTCCCGAGAAGGGTCTCGTCTGAAAAAGTCACGTTTTTGTGGATGATGTTAAGGGTTTATGTTGTTTTTGTTTACCCGTACACTGGGCTAAGTCCCTTTTGATAATATATGTATGGAGATGTATGACTTACATAATATTGACGTCACATGTATATATTTAAGTTTTAAATATTCTATCCCATGTACGTTAGCACAGCTCTATGGACATTGTATTTTATATATATTTGCTTTTGCTTGCCCCTTATATTTTGTTATTCTGTTCAGAGGCCTTCGATAATCCTAGGATTACTGGTCGGTTACGATGCTAAACCTATAGAGGCAGGTTTGGGCCGTGACAAAGTGGTATCAGAGCACGAATTACCCCACACACGAGTCCATATGAGCTATAGGATGTCCTAGAAAATGATTAGGGACTTTTTATCTGCATGTGTGGGTGTCTGAACTATTTGAACATGCTGGAACTAAAATGAATGATGTAAATATGTTTGAATCAATATAAAACACATTAAATTGGAATTGAATACAGAGAACGAGATATTCTGCCTATGTTTATTTTGTCTCGTTTACCTATAACAATGGAAAATACAAGAAGTGATGATACAGCTAGATCTTCTGAGGCTCAAATGAGCTGGATGGAACAAATGTTAGAAGCTTTAACAGAAACAATAAGACAGTAACAAAGACAACAACTTGTGCTCCCTTCACTACCTCTAGTGCTAGTTGAGCCGGAAAACACTGACACTATTTCACTAATATAGAAGTTCAACAAAGTGAAGCCCCCAATCTTTCTGGGTGGTATTGAGTCGTTGAAAGCCGAAACATGGCTGCCAGAGACTGAAAAGATATTTGAAGTGTTCCCGTGCTCGGAAACTCAGAAAGTTTTTTTGGCTACCTACACTCTGAAAGAAGAAGCTAGACGATGGTGGATGCTTATCCGAGATAATAGTGGGATTATGATGTGGAGCCAATTTAAAGTGATATTTTATGAGAAGTACTTTCCCCAATGTTTCAGAGACCGTAAAGTCTCAGAATTCCAAGAACTCAAGCAAGGCAAGATGTCCATAGTCGAGTATGAGGCTAAATTCACTAAGTTAGCCAAATTTGCTCCTCATATGGTTGACACAGATTACAAAAAGGCTCAAAAATTTGAAGGGGGCCTAAATCTGGATGTGTTTGATCGAGTAGGCGTTCTGAAGTTGCCTACATATGTGGATGAACTTGACAGAGCATTGATGGTAGAGGCCAATCTGGCAACAATGAAACAAGCTAAAGCACCAACAACATAATGGAGAAGTAAAAGATCTAGATCCAATTTTCGATAGGGCCGTTCATCCTTTGCAAACAAAAAGCAAAATACTGGATTTTCAAGCAGTTCAAGTCAAAGTAGCAGATCTATGCCAGTTTGTTCTGAATATGGGAGGAAGCATAACGGCGTGTGTTACCGTGCATCTGGTGCTTGTTTTTGATGTGGCAAGATTGGCCACATGATCAAAGATTGTCCGATGAGATTCGACGATGCTAACCGTCCAACAGCAAGTTCAACCGGATCCGCTTCTGCACCAAGAACAAATGTGAGAATCAATATCGGGAAAGAAACTCTAAGGTAAGGAAGAGTTTTTGCATTAGTACCTAGTGGTGTGCAGAACACTGAGTCAGTGGTGTTAGGTATGATCTCTATTTGTGCTCAGCATGCCTTTGTGTTGATAGATTCTGGTTCTACACACTCTTTTGTGTCACATGCCTTTTCTCGAAAATTAACTAGACCCTTAGAACTTTTAAATTGTTTGCTATCTATATCTACACCATCTGGAGGCTCTATGTTATGTGCTTATGTGTATCCTGCGAGTGACATCATGGTTAGGGATATGTTGTTATATGCTGATTTGCTACCATTGGACATTACTCATTTTGATTGTATTCTGGGTATGGATCGGTTAACTAGATACTATGCCACCATTGATTGTGTGAGTAAATCTATTGTATTTCGACCACCCGGTGTGCCTGAGTTTGTCTTTATTGGAAATGGGGTAGTTCTTCTGCCGTACTTGATTTCGTTTATGAAAGCCAAGAAGTTGTTGAGAAAAGGTTGTCGAGGCTACTTGTGTTGCGTAATCACTGTCTCTCCGGATAGTGCTAATGTGGAAACTATTCCTGTTGTTTGTGAATTTCCTAACGTATTTCCTAATGACCTACCCAGGGAGTTAATTGATAGAGAAATTGAACTCACTATTGATGTAGTATCTGGGACACAACCAATTTCTAAGACCCCTTACCAAATGTTAACCTCTGACTTGAAAGAATTGAAAGTCCAACTCCAAGAATTTCTAAACAAAAAATTCATCCGACCGAACACTTCACCTTGAGGTGCTCCAGTTTTGTTTGTCAAAAAAAAAGGATGAATCCTTGAGATTATGTATTGATTACCGAGAATTAAATAAAGTAACAATCAAGAACAAATACCCACTACCCTGAATTGATGATCTGTTTGGCCAACTTCAGGGAGCCCAAGTGTTCTCCGAAATTAACCTTAGATCAGGCTATCATCAATTGAAAGTTAAGGCAGAAGGTAACGAGAAAACCGCTTTCCGAACTAGATACGGACACTATGAATTTTTAGTAATGCCATTTGGGGTAACAGATTCACCTGTGGCTTTCATGACTTAATAAATAGCGTGTTCAAACAATTCTTGGATGAATTCATAGTTGTATTTATTGATGATATTCTGATTTACTCCAAAAGCAGGAAAGAACATGAGAATCATCTGAGAACTGCCTTACAAGTCTTGAGGGAGAAGAAATTGTATGCAAAACTCTCTAAATGTGAATTCTGGCTTGACAATGTAAGCTTTCTATGGCATTTAATCAATAAATATGGCATCTTTGTTGACCCACAGAAAATTAAAGCTATTATGGACTGGCCAAGACCAACCAATATGTCAGAAGTTTGAAGTTTTCTGGGGCTTGCAGGCTATTATCGTAGATTTGTGAAAGATTTCTCCAAACTTGCTTTGCCACTCACTCAATTGACATAGAAAACTACACCATTTGATTGGAATGATCAAAGGGAGTCTACCTTCCAAGAGTTAAAAGACTAAGTTAGTAACTACACCAATTTTGACTTTGCCTAATGGTACTAATGGGTTTCAAATTTACAATGACGCTTCGTACAAAGGTTTGGAGTGTGTGTTAATGCAAAATGTGAAGGTGATTGCTTATGCTTCTCGATAACTCTGCCCACATGAAAGGAACTACCCAACTCATGATCTTGAACTGGCAACGGTAGTGTTTGCTTTGAAAATTTGGCGACATAACATGTATGGTGTGACTTGTGAAGTGTATACTGACCATAAAAGCCTCAAATATTTCTTCACCCAAAAAGAACTGCACATGAGACAGAAACGATGGCTTGAGTTGATCAAGGATTATGACTTACAGATCTTGTATCATCCGGGGAAAGCCAATGTTGCAGATGCTTTGAGCCGAAAATCCATTGGCAATTTGTCATGTTTACTTACTGGTCAAGGAGAATTGTTACATGATTTGGAAAGAAATGAGATTGAAATTGTGTTGCATGAACATGGTGGAATTCTAGCTGCCATTTCCGCCTAGCCTGCAATAATTGAAGAAATTAAAGAGAAATAGCTTGACGATGAGTTTTTGAAGAAGATTGTTGACGAACTTGAATCAAAACCAAGGCCGGGGTTTGTATTTGAGAACAATGTGCTAAACTTTCAGCGTAGGCTTTGTGTACCAGATTGTTTTGAAATGAGGAAACGTGTTATGACTGAAGCCCATAATTCCAAATTTGCTATGCACCGGGGTAAAATGAAAATGTACAACGATTGGAAGCAAAACTTCTGGTGGCCTGGAATGAAGAAAGGTATTGTTTACTATGTGGCTAGATGTTTGCATTGCCAACAAGTTAAAGTCGAACATCAACGACCCATTGGATTGCTTCAACCGCTTCTAATACCGGAAAGGAAATGAGAGCATATTACCATGGACTTCATTATAGGATTACCTCGCTCTTCTCGAGGTATGGACTCTATCTGGGTCATAGTTGATCGTTTGACTAAATCTGCTCATTTATTACCTGTGAAAGCTTATAATGCGGATAAGTTAGTTAACATCTATGTGAATAAGATTGTGAGATTACACGGTGTACCACTATCTATTGTGTCTGACAGGGATCCTAAGTTCACTTCAAGATTCTGGTAGAGCTTACAGCAAGCTTTGGGAACTGAGTTGAGACTAAGTAGTGCTTATCACCCACAGACAGACGGCCAATCTAAACGAACCATTCAAACCTTGAAAGATATGCTCAGAATATGTGTGTTAGATTTCCAAGGAAATTGGGAGACCTACTTACCACTAGCTAAATTTGTGTATAACAGTTATCATTCGAGTATTGGTATGGCTCCTTACGAAGCTTTGTATGGTAGAAAATGTCATTCTTCGATCTGTTGGGCCAAGGTAGGTGACAGACTATGGCACGCCTTTTTCTCGGGCCACACATTTTGGAAAGGTTTGAAATGAAAGGCCTCACAGTTCGGACTCCAGCGGTTCTGAATCTAATCTCACAAGTGCAATGTGAAACCGATAATCACCAAAGAGTCCAAATCCGGCAAATCTTTTTGGAAAATCGATTTTCAATCAAATAATGAAAAAATTGGACTGCTTTGCTAGATACAGAGTCACCACCTAAATATTTTTGTTCTTAGGAAATTTAGGAAACCCTGACTCGGGCCAAAGGCCACGTGTCCGTCATCACCAAAGTTGCCTCAGCTCCGGAACTTGGGTATGAGGGGGGAAGGTCATGAATTGAGCACCCCCGCTCGCCCGATCAAAGATCGGCCTCTACTAATCATGATATATTTTTTTTTTTATAAACATTATGCGTTCTTATTTTGGTTTTTAAACTAGTTTTACTATGTGACATGCACAAGCAAGTATAGACTAGTCGCAAGACTTGGAACAATTCAACTCATGTTTGTTTTTGAAAATGGTTTGAATTGACCACCTCAAGTGGGCTTAAAGATGCGGTTTTGCCACCAAACATAGTGGGCTTAAAACATGATTTGCCACTCAACAAAGTGGGCTTAAAACTTACATTTATTGAATTGTTCCAATTCAAACAACAAGCCTTCATCCATAGGCATTCATGTAGTTTAGCATTTAAGCACATAGCCTCATGGCACTCATGCAAGTGTGCTAAAGCATAAAAACTCACCTAGTACTCCAAGCCAAAATAGAAACTAGTTAGAAAAATGCATGATCCTAACTGTGTTATGTGTTTAATGTAATACATGTAATATGCAATTTAATAGGCTCGGCTACTATATGGCATATGAATCGATTTGAACAACATGGGATTAAACACGTATTCAAATAAGATATTGAAATGACAATACAATTTGAATGATGCGCTGAGTCTCGGTGCATGCAAGGCAAGATGAATGTATGCAAGCATGCGATATGCTAATTGAAACGTGATGCTCCTAAACCAAACATCGAAAACGGTTAAGTAAAAGGGAGAAATACATGGGTTGGAAGACATACACACACGCACGCACACTTATTACAACATTATGCCCTCGTGAAGGAGGGTCCGAATAAATAACCTAACTAGCTAATCAAACTAAGCTAAGCAAAGCTAATTATTACAAAACTTGAATAAATAGCTAAACTAATTAACTAATTTATTGCAACACTTGAGATGAATACTAACTATCTAAGCTAATTAAAATAAATTAATTAGGCTAAGCAAATTAAATATTACAACATGACTAATTAGCTACAACTAATTAGACTTATCAAATATTACAACACAATTCATTATACTAATGAATCAATTAAAACAATCAAACGCATTCGATGTGAGCACCAAGAAAGATGGATGGAGGTTGCATGCGCATCGCATGAAAGCTTCTCTGTCTGCCCCAGATTGCCTCTATTTCACCTTCAGCTATTGCCTCTGTTTTTGCAAAACTGCACTGCTGGCCACACACTAAGGGCCGGCCATGTATTGATTTGGTGCAAACTTTGTTTTTGTGCTCTGAGGTGAAATCAGTGCAGATAGAACATTTTCAAGCTCTGTTTGTCCTTCCTTCCTTCTCTGTCATAGAAGAGCCTCAAGAGAAGGTTGGGATTGACTTTAAAACCATCAATGAGCGATATGATCGCTTGATGATTTCAGATGTCATTTTGGACCAAATTCAATAAATGTAATGCAAATGGACCACCCCTCCCTTTTTGTCATGGAACTCAAAAAAAGGAAGTTGAGACG